TTTTTATTTCAGTCATTTTTTACATATTACTCTATTGTTTCCTTAAAATTTCATTAGCTTGTTGGATATCCATATGACCCAATAATCCTATTTCTAGGTACTTATTCAAAGACTATAAAAGCATTAATTTAGGGTCCCTGGTAGTGCATTGGCTTAAAGCACAGCACTAAGAAGCTAAATAAAGCCACATCAGCCTGAGTTCGATCCACATGGGACCTCTTCTGGCTTACCCGCTGCTCCCCTCAGCAGTGTACTTTGTCATTCGGCCTGTTCTGCTCCCCACTCTGTCTCTAGTGAATCCTCTCACTACCCCTGCTCCTCTGGCCTATACCCTAGTTCTATATGCATGAATAAATAAATCTTTTTTTAAAGTATTACTTTAAAAAGATATGTGGACCTCTCTGTATGTTCCAACACTATTCACAATTGGCAAGTTATGGAAAGAAGTGCCCAATGGCAGATGGTTAGATAAAGAAGATACAGTGTATGTAAAAGAGCATTTTTGCGGCCCTCCCTGGTGGCGCAGCGGGTTAAAGCACAGCACTGAGAATCTAAAGCCGCTTCCGCATGAGTTCGATTCCCGCCTGCCCCGGAGGTGACATGGCGTGGCAGACCTCTCCTGACCCGTCCGCTGTTCCCCTTAGCAGTGTACTTCGTCGATCTGCGTGTTCTGTTCCCCACTTTGTCTCTGGTGAAGCCTCTCGCTGCCCCTGAGCCTCTGGCCTGTACCCCAGTTCTGTATGCACAAATAAATAAATCTTTAAAAAAAAAAAAAGAGGATTTTTGCATGTATATTTACCAGAGATATTGACCTCTAATTTTCTTTTGGTGTGATATATTTTTTGGTATAATATATGCAGAAGCCAAATAGAAGTTAAGGTCTCTGTTCTTTGTCTTATTTCTACTAACTGCTAAAATTCTTCTTGTGGGCTGTTGAAGTTTGTTATTTTAAGATCCTAGAATGAAAGATGTGGTTGAATTTTGACCACAGCCAAATTTACTACCCATTTATGTGACATTTTCAAGAAATGTCACATACTTCTTTAGCAGTGTTCTAAGACAATAGAAACAAAGACTGTGATATTTTGGTGCTTGAGTTTTAGGGGAAAGAGGTAAATCACTCGCATCATCATCATCTGAATACTATTATCATGGTATAGCTTGGGTAAGGAATTTCACTGTATAGTACTGTTAAGCCTACTAGATCGCATTTGTAACTTTTGATATAGATCATGCTTTCACTTAAAAATTTTTTTGGTTTGCAAACATGGTTAAACTGTGGCTGGTGAAAAAAGCAGAAGTTCTGAAAAATTTTTATCTCTGCAGTTCACTTTTGTAAGTTTCAGTGGTAAATAGAATTCTCAGAACTGGACATATAGGCAGGCTGGGCCATATCACTTCCAAGTCATCTACACAGCCAATCAGAATACATTATTCCAAACACTTGGTGGCTGGGGCAGTAGGTTTTAGATTCACTTTTTCAAGTAGCATATGATTCATCTGTCTCTCTGGACAGTTGTCAGTGTTTCCTTTGTCTTTTATTTTTTGTTTGGTTAACTAAATTCAACTAACTCTTGAAAGTTACTAAATAAATTTTATCTTTGATAAATAGAGATTCCAACTTTTTCATAATTCCATGGTGTTTAGCAGCTACATGTTAACAGAAATGGACTTGCATTTGCTTTCTTAGGGAAAGTAAATTGGTCTTTGTTGAACCCAACTATTTTAAAATTGTTTTATCATGTTCATATAATTATTGGTGCATTTTCGTTAGAAAAGTACACCATTTTGAGAGTTCTGTATTTTATGGTCAACTTCTTCCTCGCCAGCAAGACAGTCTATGAGGTTAATGGGGGAAAAAATCTTCAGCATTGTTTTTAATAATGCCCTCCTACTTAGCTTCTCTCTTCCCATTTATGTTTCCTTTTCCACTGATTTATACCCAGTTTGGGAATTATACAGCAAAGAAACATAAAAGTATTTTTTCTTTTCCTTTGGTTTTCCCCAATGTCTTAAACCAAAGTCCATCAGTGTCTAAAGTTTTTTTTCAATGTTCCTAATCATGTGACATTTAGTAAGTATGTTGACGTAGGACCTGAAAAGACTAAACTAATCATTATCTGTTACCTGGAGAAATGGGTGATCTTTATACCGTCAAAAGAGTGATACGAAAGGATAGTTGGTATTCTGAATCTCAGGCCTATAAATATCTATGGGGATAGATATGGCGGAACAGAATTTAACATGTCTGGACTAGAAAAGGCATACGAAGAAGCTAAAATTCAACTAGCAATCATAAATTACCTTACACATTTAACCGAGAACCATGCATAATGTATTACATAGAATAATTAACTGCAAAATGATAGGGTGACTGTGAAGTGATAGTTTAGAAACTTTAAGAGTTCAAGCCTTGATATTAGAACACCTGACTTGGCACTTACCAGTAGTGTGAACTGGAGTAAGTCACAGTCTCATTTTGTATCAGTGTCTGTAAAGTGAGGATAAGGCTAACATGTTTGTGCTGAATCCACAGGCACACATTATCACACTGAACTGAAAATACAGTCCCTAACCCAACTAATGTTAAGCTACTTTCTTTGCTTTTTTTGTCTTAACCACTCATATTACCAAAAGAGCATTCGAGTATTTCAGGTTAACTGCTAAATATTTACTATTGGCAGATATTTGTATTCAAGCAATAATTCCGGTTTGTTTTGTAGAAGTTAGCTAGTTATGGGCCCTCCCTGGTGGCTCAACAGGTTAAAGTGCAGGACTGCAAATGAGGAGCAGCCTCTTCAGTGCAAGTTTGATTCCCACCCGGGAGCTCACCTACATGGCTGGCAGACCCTACCTGACCCGCCCTCTGCTCCCCTCAGCAGTGTATTTCGCAGTCAGCCTGTTAGGCTCCCCACTCTCTCTGGTGAATCCTCTCACCGCCCCTGCACCTCTGGTCTGCACCCCAGTTCTTCTATATGCATAAATAAATAAATAAATCTTTAAAAAAAGTTAGCTAGTTATGGACTTTAATTTTTTCCAGTGATGATCATCATTTCATGTTATAAGTTGACTGTCCTTAAGCTTATCCTTACCTGGTTATTACTGTAATTTCAGACAGTTACAAATTTACCCATCCTCATTTTTCATGGTACTTTCTAGTTTCCTTAGTTTTTAGTCTAAGTTGAATAGAAACTCTTTTACTTTTTAAATTGTATCTGACCTCTTGACTTTTACCTTTGTTTATAACAGTTTTATTCTTTATCAGTTTATGTTATGGACTTAATTTTTTTCCCTTTTTCTGTAAAGTGTTGCTTAAAAGAGAACTCATTTTTCAACTTAAAAATTAATTTCAAAATTACAATAAGTATTTGAAATCTAAAGGACCCACTCTCTGGTAGAAATAATATCTAAAGTATAGGTATCAGTAAAGTTTGATATTGTTGCCACTTAAAATTTGAATTTGCTAATCACTTTACATTTTAAGATACAGAAACATGAGGAGAGCATTCTCCTCCTGAAATCACATATTTATTTACAGCCCAAGTCAAGGTCTACCTTCTCCAGTTGACCTTTTGTGCTGATTTTTCTGAATTTGAAACAGGAGCTCTTGGATTCTGAAATTCCCAGTGATATTTATCATTATTATTCTAATTTAACACATACAATGATTGGGTTCCTTTTTTATTTTCATTTTATTTAACTTTCAGATAGAATTGACACAGCACCATTTAAGCTTAAGGTATAACATAATAGGTAAAATGATTTTCATTGTGAAACATATTGTGAAATGATTTTTATTATTCAGTTATTTTAATAACATACAAAATGTCATCTAGTGTTTGAGCTTATACTAGAAAGTCACTAGGTAATTCTGTTGGGTAGTGAATATATGTGTGTGTGTGTGTGTGTTTTTTAATTGCAATGCCCTACTTAATCTTTTCATAGCTTGGTTATAAAGAATTTTACATGATTTTTCGGATAGGAAAGGGTCAACTTATTATATTGCATGATATATTTACTATAAAATTAGTATGTTTTCTCTGATTAAAATAAAATTTGGCTTCAGTGAATCAAACTTTAAACTTTCTTTATAAAAAAGAAACAAGCAGAAGACCACACAAAAAGTGTTACCATTTATTGATATATTTTTCAGGCTCATGAGAGACTAGAAGATTCAAAATTAGAAGCTGTCAGTGATAATAACTTGGAATTAGTCAATGAAATTCTTGAAGATATCACCCCTCTAATGAACGTGGATGAAAATGTAGCAGAATTGGTTGGTATACTCAAGGAGCCTCACTTCCAGGTAAGCTTACCCACACTCTTCCCACCAAGTCTCCTGTATACCAGAATATCCTGTTTTTGTAGGTAAGGTCCAGTTTAAGGTACTTTAATAATTTTTAATTGCATTGTTTATTGCCATAACATTTATTTACAACACTGACTATGCCATAGAGATATAGGTTCATACTTCTCTAGATGTGTGTTACCACACCATGCCTACCACCAAGCACCCATTAATCCTCTAGTAGAATACGTTAGGGCCCTTATCCTCCTTTGCTCTCCCATCTGGTAACCTCAGTTCTGCAATCATTTTTCTAGAATTTGTTTGGCTTGCTTTTGACTGTTATTTTGTTTCTTTATATTCCATGAGAGTGAAATCATTTGGTATTTGTCTTCTTCTGACTTACCTCATTTAATAATATAGTATCCTCCAGCTCCAAATATGTTGTAACAAATGACAAGATTTCTTTTTTGTAGTTTAGTAGTATTCTATTGTGTATCTATAACAACATTGAATGCATCTTGAATTTGTGTGTCATCCTTAGAACAGGACCCATTCTAATCATCTCTGTATTGTTCAAGTTTTAGTATATGTGCTGCCAAAATGAACACAAGGTGATGTTTTTCAAGATTCTTTAGTGCCACATATTATAAATATGTGTATTCCAGTTAGGTGTTTTCATGCCCTAATATGCTGATGATATATAAATAGCAAACATGACCAATACACATTTTGTATAAAAATTTATAATGTTTGGCCCTTCCTGGTGGCAGGTTAAAGCACAGCACTGAAAAGCTAAAGCCACTTCCGCATGAGTTTGAGCCCCGCCTGCCCCGGAGGTGACCACATGGCGTGGCAGACCTCTCCTGACCCGCCCGCTGCTCCCCTCAACAGTGTACTTCGTGGATCTGCCTTTTCTGCTCCCCACTCTGTTTCTGGTGAAGCCTCTCGCCACCTCTGAGCCTCTGGCCTGTACCCCAGTTCTGTATGAACAAATAAATAAATCTTAAAAAAAAAATTTATAATGTTTTTCACAGAAATACATCAGAATGAATTTTCCTTTGTATAATAAGGAAAAATAAAACAACCATGATTCCCGTTAGAACCACATGTTAGAGATGATTTTCTTCTTACTGTGGTAACAAATTTTTCATCCTCATTATCACTGTTTTCTAGCTATTCCTAGTGACTAGTAATATACATTTTTAGTATTGCTTATTATATTGGGGTACCATTAATGACTTGAAACAAAAGAGAGCTGTGTAAGGATAGAAGCAAATACAGCATACTCTCCATAGGTACACAAAAATAGGTACAATTTAGGCATTGGTTTATGTGAATGAAAATTTAGTGTATTAACAAAGAAGAATCAGTTTCAGAAGAGAAAAAGATTTCACTACATACTATAATAATTAAGACAGTCTGTTATTGAGCAATATTAGCACAGTAGACTAATTGCAGAGAGTAGAAACCTAGTAATACATCCGTACAATATGGCAGCTTGATTTGTGACACAGGTATGGATTTTTATGGAGAAACTATGGACTGTTTAATGAACAGTTGGGTGTAGAAGAACAGTGTCCCCTGATTTCTACTACAACTCTCAGTGTTGAAAATTAAGTAGAACACCCCTTTGCTTTTTTTTTTTTTTTTTTTTTTTTTTCCGCAGTAGCATAGGTTTAAAACATTATGTAAGTTTCAGGTCTACAGCATTATAATTTGTCCATCTGTATGTACATTGTCATTGCCATCAAAAGTCTAGTTTCTCTCAGCTACCTTATGTTGATTCCCTTTTCCCATTTACCCATCCTCATTTTTCCACTCTGTAACCACCATTTTGCTTCTACACTCTTTAGAACTGGTTTTTGTTTTTGTCCTGTTTCTAGGACTTCCACATGTGAGTGAAATCATATTATATTTGTCTTTCTCCTTCTGATTTATTTCACCGACTACCTCTGATTTATTTCACCTCTTTTCTAGGTCCATCCATATTGTCCAAATGGCAAAATTTCATTTTTCTTTTTTTTATAGCTGAGTAGTGCTTCATTGTGTGTATATATATATTGTATCTTCTTTCTCCAGCAATTCATTAGTGGTCCCTTAGGTTGTTTTCATAGCTTGACAATATCACTGCAGTGAGCAAAAGGCTATATATCTACCTCTTCAAGATAGACTTTTCATGTGTTTTGAAATACCTAGAAATGAAATGGCTGAATCATTGTATATTTCCAATCATAAATTTTTGAGAAATACACATAACTTTTCCTAATGGATGCACCAGTTTACATTCCCATTAACTATGCTCAAGGTTTCTGTTTTCTCCAACATACAATATAATAGAGAGAGGAAAATCTCTTCAATAAATGGTATTGGGAAAAATAGGCAGCATCGTTCAAAACAATGAAACTAGACTACTGTCTTATACCATATATGCCTGTAAATTATCTAAAAATGGATTAAAGAACTGTATGTAAGAACCAAAACCATAACATAAAAGAAAGAATAGGCTGTAAGCTCACTGATGTTGGACAGTGATATGTTTGGGGACTTGACTCCAAGGGCAAGGAAAACAAAACAAAACAAGTGGGGATACATCAAACTGAAAAGCTTCTGCACAAAAAAAGACAATCCTTAAACAAAAAGGATATCTTCTGAAGAGAAGATATTTGCAAACTATGAATCACACAAAGGTTTAATATTTAAAAATAATTCATATACCGTAGCAACAAAAAAGCAAATTGATTAAAAAATGGGCAGAGGATCTAAAATAGATACTTGTCCAAAGAAGACATCCAAATAGCTAAGAGACATGAAACAATGTTATTTATCACTAGGGAAATAAAAATCAAACCACATTGAATTATCTCATAACTATAAGAATTGCTTCTTTGATTTTTCTCACTTTCTGTGACTCTTCAAAATGTTAGTGCAAAATACAATTTATAGTGAGAGGGTTCCTACATAAATCAGTCTTAAGTACCAAATTATGGACACATGTCAGACACCTTTTATGTGTATTGACTGATGTCTTATTAGACACACCAAAGTACTTGCATGTACTTTGTGGAAAGTGGAAAGCTTTGAGTGGGGAGAGGGAGAGATAATAAACAGGGAAGGTCAGAATATGGAGCTGTGGTTCAGTTAAGGCAAGAAATTGTGATGACAGTGCAAGTAGTGGGAAATGTGATATGAGGATTTTCAAATTTCGAACAGTAAAATCCACAGGACTTGGTGACTGGTTTCATGTGATAATGTGGGAAAATAATAATGATAGAATTTCAGACAAGCAATTCTGCTTTCACTGGTATGAGGAAAACTGTTTTCGATGTGTAATTATTAAGGTAATTGGTCATTATAAATTTGTGCTACCTCAGAAGCATGTAAGTAGAGCTTTCAGGTATGCTGTATATATTTTTAAAATATATGGAATTTACTACACAAATTTAAATAAAGCTTAATGAATATATAAAGTTAAAATCTGGTGAGCAGTACAAAAATTGAAATAATTACATTCTTAATACCCATGTTGTGACTGTACTATATCTTAATCCCTATTCCACCCTGTTTTTCTTTGTATCAGTATACATAGCACACACATATATATATTTCCTACTCATTGAGATCATTTTGCACAAGCTGTTTTGAAACTTAACCCTTTTTCAATCTTTGAGTTCCACTTTCCCATTTCAGTGAAATGCTTATTTCATGTAGTACATATACTATATTCAGACATCTTCTTTTGCCACCCAAATATTCTGTACAAATGACTTGTCAAAATGAGTTTCTACCTGGAGTCCGTGTAGGTGGTATGTGGTTGGATCATCCTCTCCCCCTGATTATAATAGTGATCTGCAGGCTCGTTTCCTGTAGTGTCTCACACCCTGGATTTAACTGGTTAATTCCCACTGTGTTGTTTAGTTACTCCTTCTATGTCCTATAAACTGTCTGAAAGATTAACGTTTCAGGTTAAATATTTGGAACTAAAGTGAATTGTAAGTGATATGTTGTAACATTAATTAAACTGCATCAGAAGATGTTTAAATCATTGGTTGAACAACCATTATTCTTGCTGAGATTGGTCCCTTGATTAAGGGCTAAACAATATAATCTTTCCTGTGAAATTCTCTCTACTACAAAATAATCTAGAGTGTTGTTATTCTAGTATTATATAAACACTGTTCTCAACCTGCTCATGAACACATATATACATACATATTTATATGTGACTGAATTCATGGTTTCCTTAGAGGTTGAAAAATAACGTTTGTCAAAATCTCTCATTCTACATCTATTAACTAGTGTTTTTTAAGTAAAGTAGAGCTTTTCCTCCATCCCCTGGGCTATAATACATTGCCTACTGAAAAGTCAGAGAATTGTTTTGTTTGTCCCTCTTTCACCCCCCTACCGCATACCTCTGGTCAACACTCCAGTTCTTGTATGCATAAATAAATCTTTTTTTAAAAAGGATTTTTCTTTTATCTCTTACACATATTTTCATGAAATGGCCAGAAATTAGCAGTTAAGGTCAGATGCTTCTATTCTGAATCTGTTTACATTCGCTCCCTTCTATTTTGATTTATTGTTTCTGAACTTGCAGTCTGTCTACTCAAAAATTTTAGATTAGTTTTATGTTGAGTATAAAGATATAAGTGAAAAACAAAAATTATTTTAAAAGCCCTAGGAAGGTAAAGCAAATTTATCCATGGTGATAACACATCATATATATTCAGATCTATTACTGATTTGTTATTCCCCTATCCCAAGGATCTTATATTATAACCTTTATTGGTAATATAAAACTTTCCATCACTGATGTTGTTTTTATATGTCTTTTATTAGACATCTTTTTAACAGACATTTTGTATATATGTATATATTTGCACATGTATTATGGAATTGCTAACATAATTTTAGAGCAAAAATTAGGGTCCCTAATTAAAAATTAAGTTTGTGTGATAATTAATAAATTGGGATTGGTAATAAATACTGAATGATGATGTGGTGATGGTAATGTCAGTGGTAATAATGAAATCCAGTGTTTTTATGTCCCACCTCGATGGGAATTAAGGTTTACTTTCCATTGAACATGACACTTAAAAGTCAAAACTCTACCAGTATCTTTAAATTTTTTGAAACAAGAGGTATGATACTGTTTGATAACAAGTAAAACTATATTTCTCTTTCTCTTAAAAGATTCTCTGTGCATTTGATTTATCTCATTTTTCAAAATTTAATAATACATACTTTGGATAGTACTCCACTGGGATAATTAAATCATTGTTAATAACTTATCTGCAATTAATAACCACAGGCTATTTTGAATCCTTTTAGTCACTCCTGGAAGCCCATGATATTGTGGCATCAAAATGTTATGATTCCCCTCCATCAAGCCCAGAAATGAATAATTCTATCAATAATCAGTTACTGCCGGTGGATGCCATTCGTATTCTTGGTATTCACAAAAGAGCTGGGGAACCGCTGGTGAGTAGATTGATCAGTGTCTATGTAACCCTGACATACTTGTGCTGTCACTGCTCTATCTCATTTTTAGTCTCTGATAATTTGTGTCATCATGATACCTTATTTATATTTGTTTTATCAGTCTTTGGTGGGGGGGCCTATATGTAAGTTCATAGCTTATGTGCTGTCTACTTGATGTAGTATACAAAATCAAACCAAAATAAGAAACAAACTGGAAATTGAAACCATGGTAATTCTCTCTAAGTAGTGAAGTTTATAATGCCTGTTAAAATCACTGTCTCTGGTTTCTGACTATAAGAACAGTGAAGTGGAAAAAAGTAAAGAATACCATCAGAAAATGTATATACCATTTCTTGCTCCCTAGATCTTCCTTTAAAAAAAAAATGATTTATGTATACAAGATCTGAGATGTAGGCCAGAGGTGTGGGGGGGGGGGGAGGATTCACCAGAGACAGAGTGGGAAACAGCAGGTGGATCTATTGAGGTGCACTGCTGAGGGGAGCTATAAGCCAGACAGGGTAGGTCTGCCATGTCATATGGGTCACCTCCCTGGCTGGCCAAGTTTCAAACTCATACTTTGGTGGCTGGTGATAGTTTGGTAGTGCTTGCTAGAGCCAGGGCCTGCCTTGCCATATGGGTCACCTCCCTGGCTGGCTGAGTTTCAAACTCATACTTTGGTGGCTGGTGGTAGTTTGGTAGTGCTTGCTAGAGCCAGGGAGGCCCTAGAGCTTCCTTTTAGACTGTGGAATGCAGCCTAATGTATAGTTCATTTTTAAGGTTAATTTTGACATTTAAACTATGACAGTTGCTCATATTTTAAATGGGATTAGCATATTAAGACAGGAGAAGACATTGGAAAAGTAAGAGAACATGACAAAAGTAGAAATGGTTTACTTATCTACTAATAAAAAACTATATATACATATTTGTGAATATCTAAAGTTATCTTCCTAATAAGATAAACTCAGTAATAATTCTGCTTCTTATTTTCTTTAGGGTGTGACATTTAGGGTTGAAAACAATGATCTGGTGATTGCACGAATCCTTCATGGAGGAATGATAGATCGACAGGGTCTGCTACATGTGGGAGATATCATCAAAGAAGTCAATGGTCATGAGGTTGGAAACAACCCAAAGGAGTTACAAGAATTACTGAAAAATATTAGTGGGAGCGTCACCCTAAAAATTTTACCCAGCTATAGAGACACCATTACCCCTCAACAGGTTAGTCATAAAATTCTTGGCAATATTAAGAATACTTAAGTTTCTTTAATCATGTTGGGTACACAACCACTGGTTGCTATTCTTTTGTTAAAAGTAAACAGAAAAATCTTGCTTAATGTTTTAAATTGACTTATTTTGTCATGGGATTAAATAATTAGCACCATCTTTTATAAAGAAAGAAGTAAGGAATTCTTTGTGAACATTACAGCTAGGTATCGGGAAAAAATAAAGCTATGTAGTCATTAATTTAGCAGGTAATTTTTTAAAGATATATTTATTCATATAGAACTGGGCTACAGGTCAAAGGTGTGGTGGGTGAAAGAATTCACCAAAGACAGAGTGGGGAAGCAGAACAGGGAGATCTACTAAAATACACTGCTGAGGGGAAGCAGCAGGCAGGTCAGGAGAGGTCTGCCACACCATCTAGGTTATCTCCCTGGCGGGGAATCAAACTCGTGCTGGACTGGCTTCAGAGAGCCTCATAATGGTGCTTTAACCCATTGCACCACCAGGGAGAGCCCAATTTAGCAGATATTTTTGATATGTAGTGTGTTTTAGGCCTTGTGAAAAAATAAGAATATAATCCTTATCACCTTTGGCTAAGTGTTCATGTGATGGATTAGAAAGAATGAAGTCAGAATGGGAGAAATACATATTGAAAAGAATCTTGACCCCTTGGTTTGTACCTATTTGTTCTATATCTTGTGATCAGTTTTTAAGTAAACTAGGAATTATTTTATAAGATTTATTTTATGCATACAGAACTCGGGTACAGGCCGTAGGTGCAGGGAGGGTAGGAGATGAGAGTATTCACCAGAGACAGTGGGGAGCAGAACAGGCACGTGTACAGAAACACACTGCTGAGGGGAGCAGTGGGTAGGTCAGGGGGGGTCTAATGTGCCCTGTGAGTCACCTCCCTGGCCAGAGACTGAATTTGTGCTACAGTGGCTACAATAGCCTCATAGCACTGAGACTTTAACTCCTGCTTCACCGGAAGACCCTCTTCAAATTTTTTTTTTTTTTTTTAAGATTTATTTGTGCATACAGAACTGGGGTACAGGCCAGAGGCTCAGGGTCGGTGAGAGGCTTCACTAGAGACAGAACGGGGAGCAGAACAGGCAGATCGATGAAGTACAGCAGGCAGGTCAGGAGAGGTCTGCCTTGCCATGTGGTCGCCTCTGGGACAGGCGGGAATCAAACTCATGGGGAAGTGGCTTTAGCTTCTTAGGGCTGTGCTTTAACCCGCTGCGCCACCAGGGAGGGCCACCTCTTCAAATTTTTAACAAAATTGGGAACATACTTCCACAGGCACATACTCACACATATATGTTTTTCTTTATTTGTTCATTTTTTAATTCAGTCTTGTTCATAATCCCATGTATTTATTAAGGTCAAACTGATGGAAATGATCTCTTACTCATCTTTGAGGCCAGCATGACCCAGATATCAAAATTATTATATGAGAAAAAATACATATAGTTCATTTCACTCAGGGATATACATGTAAAAATTCTCAAAAAAATAATAGGAAATGAAATGTAATAATGTAGAAGAGAGATAGTCTAATATGTCCAGTTTGGGTTTTCCCCATATATGCTAATATGGTTTCATATTAGAAAGTTCATAGATGTTAATGGATTAACTGTGGTGAGGAGTCTTTGGGGAGTGACAGACATATTTGCTCTCTTGCATTTGTTAATGGAGTTAGGGATGCATAACTTTAATTATATGCTATTTATATAAATTTGTCTGCACAGTTATCTTTTAAAAGCAAAGATAAAAATAGTGAAAGTGCTAACTGAAAAATAAATATTGCAAAAGGAATAGTTGATGTTTGTGCAAATGACAGTAGTTACTAGGATAAACTGAATGGATGAAATGACTAGAAAAACAGTTTCACCTGGGCCTTTAAGTCGGAAGGTAGACTAGTAGTAATTTGGGAATGTGTGGACTGAACATGGTGCAAATATTAATTACACATCTTAAACCATACAGAAAGCTACTCACTTTTACATGCTAATCTAATTTTCAAATAAATTCTAAAATACTGTTTTAAATAATTTATAGTTTTGGGGGGGTTCTATGCAAAAATATTACTTTTAAAGAATAAGTTTTATTTTCTGCTTTCCAAACTGTTTGCTTCTCTAATTTAGTTTTGCCTTCTTGTGCTTATTGGCCTTTTCAATAAAATGTTGACTAAAGTGTAGGTAATGAACATGCATCTTTATTTCCTTTCTTTTTTTTTTTAAACTAAGCATAGATTTTTTTTTTTGTATATTTTTTTATACAATTTTGTTTGGCTTTATTTTTTTTTTAATTATTACAAAAGTTTATTTTTACATCATTTTGCACATTTCTTTTTTTCCATTTC